TGAAAGAGGTTCCTTCATAGAAAATGTCAGTAGAAAGAAGTTCATAGCTCCTACAAGATTATTTCCCACTGAGCAACGAAAGACAATTTAAATTCCTTCAAATTTTCTGAAGAATCTCAAGCACAGAACTCAAGAGAGTTGCATTCAACTTAATTTACCTGAACATAATTGGGAATGCATCTGCAGCATAAAGTGTCATATGTAGTACACAAGCAGATATGCACCTAAACACATGCATATGTTCTGGTAAAAAGAAAAAACAATTCGAAATCCAAATCCAATGGGAATCGATACGGAAAGAATTCGTGACCACAATCAACGCCATAGGATATCGACGTACATATTTGCAATTTTATAACAGAACACAATTGTGAACGAAGTTTGTGTTCTTTTGCCATTGCCAGGCACACACAATCGTTCTCTCAAACCATATATACAACCTTAAGTACATACAGATTGCAAATGGGGGAATTAAAGCCATCCGAAAACTTAAACAACAACAATGAAAACTAGTAGGTACAATCCGAAATCGGCAGCAGTGACTAATTTCTGACAAAAAAATGTGAAAAAAAAGAACTATAAATTGATATGGCAATTGGAAAAAACTTGTACTGTCAAAATTTCATACTTAGTTTGAGTATTGAATGTCGTTTTCCATGGAGTAGAAAGAGACGCAGACTCACTTACTTCCATACTCGTTCTCCGAGTAGGTGTTGCGTGAAAGAGCTGCATATACACATTGGTAGGCGTTACTTGCCCGACTAACAGGCTAATCGTAGATACATTTCTGTGGCACATGAACTAGTGGTGACTTGAGTGAACGTTCGCAGTCGTAATACGAATCAGTAACGACGACGACCTGGTAACGCGGGAATGATTGAATGTTCGCGCATACGTCAAGAAAGTAAATAAACATTGAACGTTTGAATAAATTATCAAAACCGCATATGAACGCGCGAGCGACGGTATTTAACAAAATTATTCTAATTAATTATAATTAATTTTGAAACTGGAAATTTTTCTTAATTTAAATTACTTGTGAAAATGCTTTAAAAATGACGACAAATGTTCTTAATTAAACAGTGTTTTTATGCTAACAGTGAAATTATTATGAAAATGTGCCAACTAAAATAAAAACAACCAAGCATTAATACTGCTCCCACCATTACTAATTATTTCAATTAATCAATACTTTTCAAATTTAATCAAAACATATTATAGAGATTACAATATTAATATAAATAAATTTTTTTTATGTATGTTTTTATTTTATAACAACACCAAAACAAAACAAAACAAAAAATAAACAAGTGGGTATAAGTCGGTAAAGCTACTCCCACCTTGTACACATTTTCCACTTTGCCAAATCAATATGATGGACGTAAGCAGTATGTACGGAAATCATCACCATCATACTAATAATTATCACAGCAGTAGCACTGAAATGGCTGCCGTTGCAGCTGCTACCGCTGCCGCTTCAAACGGTTACACGAATACTTACTTTCCAGCTAACGCAGCTATGCCAACTCACCCACACTCCCACCAAAATCAACACCAGCATGGACATCATTTTGGATATACAAATTATGATGGCGCATCGCCTAATTACTACCAGCAACATCAACATCAATTAACCCCACCACCGACCACAGTGCAAATATCAACAACAACCGCTGTTAACAATGTACAACAACAGCAACAACAATCATTATACTCGCATCATTCACACCTGTTTAGTCCGAGTGCAGCAGAATATGGCATCACAACATCCTCATCTGCTAGTGGTGGTACATCAAATACGCCACTCCATCCTACTAGTCATTCACCAACAGAATCCTACTATGAAAGCGATTCTGTCCAATCTTATTACGCGACAGCGGCTGTGGCTACTGTGCCGCCATCAACGAATTCCCCTGTAACAGCTGCAAATGCAGCACATAATCCAACCGCTCCAGTTGATCCGCCTATAATAAGTTCGGAAAATGGACTAAGTTATACTAATTTAGATTGTTTGTATAATCAAAGTCAAACAGTAGCGCAACAACAACATGGTTACCCAGCATTGCCAGTTAATACTGGCACAAATGTGGAGGAAAAATATGCTGCAGTACTGCACTCTGCATATGGTGGTGCTGGTTTGGTAATTGATGATCCACTCATGCAAATGTCAGCTGGTCAACAACACTCACCAACACAAATATGGCATCACCAACATATAAATAATCCTTATCCGCCTACGATTGATGGTGGACTAACAATGGAATCCTTAACTAGCATGCATTCCCATGTACATCATAACATGCATCCACATATGCAACAAGCGGCGCAGCAATCTTTACAACAGCAACAGAGTCAACTCTCACACCACGGTTCCACATCGAGCGGTACGTGCAATAATTCTCGCCACCAACATGTCATCTCACCAAATAGTTCAAGTCAAGCTTCTTCGTCCTCAATATCTACTAACCAAAACAGTCCACAAACTAACAAGTCTCCAAATCATTCTAGTAATTTGCCAACCTATAAATGGATGCAAGTCAAACGAAATATACCAAAACCACAAGGTGAGTTTTGTTCAAAAAACGTTTTATTCATATACCATATATTCTCAGAATTATATTCTTCAAAATTGTTAAGTAGTTCTCTAGATTCCCTTAACACTTATCATTTTAAAAATATTCAATGGTTTTATTTTTTCAATCAAAAACATCGGAAATATAATTGCACATATATTTTAGTGATATCCGAAACTTCATTTAAATTTGAATAAAGCGGATGTAATATGGACTTTATTCTAGTATGTTGAGTTTATGACGATGGTATTTTATGATGTCTATAAGACTTTAGAACGATGGAATCAATATATATTAATTCATAATAATAACACTAAAATGATAGTTACTAGAGGTTACATATTCAATATTATACTTATATATTCTCATAAAACATATCTTATAAAGCATTGTTGATACAGAGGACAAACCCTTTAATTGTTGGTTAGAGATTAAAGACCGACAGTCCCTATATTTTTATTGTTCATATACTTCTAACAAATAGATGTCTTCTACATTTTTAGTTCTTCTTGTTTTATGATGCTTACACACAGTTCCTTCTTCTAGCTTATAGTTCCTAAAAATTTCTATATATTATGTATTCACGTACCTATCTTATATGATACGTGAATATCTTATATGATTATATGTTATTTTATTTTAGTTATATATTTTATTTCAAATACGAGTATGTAATATGTAGATAGCAGACATCTAGTGAAGTTATGATGTTATTCATATATGACATTAATCTTCTACATTATATACAATATAGTATTATGTTTAAGGTTGGTTCTGAATTCTAGCATTGAGTTTATGCTCTAAACGTCCGTTTTATTGGTTGAGTGATATTTACTATATTTTCCTTTACGATTTTAAATATCTTGTCGTTGTAATTTAAAACCACATAAATTGAAATTAATAAATAATTTCACTTTTTGCTGCTATAATGACCACCATTCTTACATACATATAATTTAATTTCTTCATCGTCTATGTTTAAATACCATATAACAGAATAGGTCAATGGATCAACTTATGTAGCGTTATATTTTGCCTCCATTGCCTACTGAATTTCTAGCAACACTTATTTCTAACAAATATAATTTTTAGCTTGAACTCGAGGCTAAGATTCGTATTAGTGGTATAAATACTGATTACAAATTAGACAATCCATACTTCTGAAATGATAAATGATATAGGATGTCTATTTATACTTCATGCAGTATGTTTGTATGTAAAATGCAATATATTGAGTAATATAAAATGCAAAATCTCTTATATAGATTTTTTTTCAATATTCTTTTTTTTTTGTTTATTCTAAACCGTTGTTTATTCTTCCAGGTTATAGATCTTAAAAATTTTGATTTGTAGTAAAGCTTTGTGACTTAAGACTTCAACTTTCCATTTTGTTTTATTTCTGCTAGTTGTCTTCATAAAATATATTGAATATGTTTAATATTAGTTTCTTTTACTACTCTGCTAAAGAATAAATTTATCATCTTCACGATTTTCTATCACCTCCTTCTTATAACCACTCTGGGGTATATTTAAAGCTTCACATGCTATTCAATCTATTCGAAGTTTTCAGTATTTCGATTTTTAAATAATCTTATACAAATTTTTAATTCGCTTACAACAACTCGCTCCAAATCGTTCGAACATCATATTATATTCGAGCGATCTACTTACTATGTACCATAAAAAATAGAACTAAATATTAAACAGACTTGTTGTTTGAATAGCTCTGACCAGAATGACAAGAATCAGCGAACATCTAAAGTGTCAAACCCATATGTCTGATATCAATATTCCCAACATTCTCAAATATCAAAATTAGTTAACGTTTTGAGATGAGTTTTCGGATGATATAAAATATATGATATACCTCTAAAATTGTACAATATCCCTATCTGGTAAAAAATAGTGTGAATATATATAGTAAATTGGGTATAATAAAAATAATTTAAAAATTACTTTTCTATTTCAAAAACTTTTGATCTATAGTAACTACTGTTTTATATATTTGTACATTATTTCTACTTATCTTTTTTGAGTACTCAAGTGGTAATGTTTTCAATCATTATTTATTCAACATTAGATTTAAGAAGCCTCAACTACTACTATATATCTGCTTGCTTTTAATAATGTTTTGCCCCTTCAGGGAAGACACATCTCCTTTATCTTACGCGTCTATAGCATAGGGTTATTCCATTATTATTAATATTAATTTTAAAAAACTAGGTTAAACTAGTCTTTAAAATATTTAATTGATACGAATACGGTTTTCAAAACCCGTATCAATTTAATATATTAAAGACTAGTGACATTTTGTAAAATTTAAATTTTTGAATATAACTAACATATAAACTTGGATTCTTAAAAATAAATATAGCACTATACAAGTATTAATATACATGCATGAAAGGTAAAATAAATATAATCGTTTATATTGGAACTAAATCATAATGATTTTTATAATCGGCATTGATTATAAACTATGCAACTATAAATGCCAAACAAATTATATACGGAATATTAACTAATTTAAAAAAAAATAAAATAATTCGAATATTTCCTAAGACCACTGATGATGAGTACTTGATAATACTCAAAACAGCGTTGTATGGTCAGTCAAATTTCAATAAATTATCTAAAATTTTTGTTCTTGTCTTTTCATTTCTATTCGAACCTTTTTTACTTTTAAATAGTTTCTTTTCATCATAAGACGTGTCATTTTTACCCAAAAAAATTAACATAACAATCGTTCTTATATATAAGTAAATTTTATGTTTCATATAAATTTGAATACTTTTTAAAGAACCTGTACTTTGATTCTTTAAAAGACCTAAATGATCAATTAAGTACAATTAAATTGTGGTTATATTTAATTTTAGTTATTTAAAATTAATTTAAAAATATTTTAATATAAAAAATAAAATACTTTTGAACATTTGATTATTCAGTAATCCTTTACTTAATTATTTAATTCGTTAAATTGAATACATTTTATACTTGTATAATTCTTTTTTAATAATTTATTAAACTTAATTTATTTAATTATTAAACTAAATTAATTTAATTTAATTAATTAAAAGTGGTTTTAAATTAACTTTTTTACACAATTTTGAATTTCAAGAAGAAATTATTGGCGCGTGCCAATGAAATAAATTATGAAATAATCCCAAAGTACCACATTTCATTTTGACGTTGGCGCATCATTTCCCAATGAGGTGCTAAGCCTCACCTTTTTTGACTAAATCCAAGACGGCCACAATTTGAAGCAAATAAAGACGAAACATTAATGGTATCAAATTTCAAAACAAAGGATTAAATACTTAAGCACTTAAATGTCTCCCGAAGGTATTGGTAACACTAAATGGGAATTACAGATGCGATTATTTGATTTGACATTAGCTCTGTGGTTTCGTATTTGACATAACAAAAAGGTTCATAGAATTTCAATAATTCCTACTCATAAACAGAATCAAGAGCAAGTATAAATGGAATATCTGTTTACTCATCCTCATGGCTATTACATGAGTTTAGAGCAGAGTTCTGTTCTTTGTTTGATATGGATTTCATCCTATAATTTAATTAAATAAACAAACTGCGAATGTATAGCAAATACCTGTTTTATTTATGCTTCGAGATAATATCCAAAACATAAATAAGCTTCAAGCTACAATAAAGTAATATGCAACTTCAGAATTGATTGACATGCCTGATATTTCAACTAAGCATCAGACGCCCAACCGAGGGAATGTCACCTAAAAATAAAAATGTCTCGAAATGCCAAGTTGTGCGCAGTCATAATTTTGCAGCATCGCTTTTATTAATTTTGCATTTTAGACTTTGCATATTTCAGATAATTTTGTCAATTTTGTGCAGTCAGGTTGTCACTTGTCAGGAATTCATATCTCTTGAATTAGCTCACTGAGACAACCAAAACGAAAAAAGAGCAGTCGACTTGCGGAGTACGAGTCACTTGCGGACTCATCGCACTGAGCACAGTGACAAAGGCAAGAAATTTTATGAATACTTTATGAATATTTGAAATTTATTTGGTCTTAGATATATTTTAGTTTGTACAAGTAAACTTAAGTCTATAGGTATCTTGTAGATACCTTACATCAAGAAAGGAGTATTAATGTACTCATTTCCGAGACATGTTAAAATGACCCATGAAGTGTGTAGTACAATGTAGTTGCGCGGTCTGCAGCCGAAACGTGCCCACAACAATTAAATTGAAAATATTTCATTTGTTGAAAAGTGCCACTTACAAGTATTTAAATCTTTAACGAGACGCCATCATATCACAAAACCCACTACTGAGCAGGGGCAAAGAATGGAATGGGTATGGCACTCCAAACTACAGAACAAATACACAAGAAATTTAGCTAATTTGATTCTCATTCATACGTTTGCACAGCTACAGCTACAGCTACAGCCACAGATGCAGCCGCAGACGTAGAAGCTTGCAGATACAGATACAGAATAAGATCACAATTTGAATGCCAGTCAGAGAAACAATTTAAAATTTTTACTGATCTGGAAGTCAAGTTGCTTGTCATAAAAAATGATTATTGAAATATGTATATTTTTTTTATACTATATAGCCAGTCCGCTGTATGCTTTACGTTACGTTAATACTCATATTAGTTTGTATCTTTTTATCTCTACGAATATGAACGAATGTCTGTCTGTCTGTCTATATGTCTGTATGTCCGTATGTCTGTCTGTTTGTAGTTATGCAGAAGCAGCACCAAGCGCGCAACCAAACTGTCACAGCGTGTATACGATCGACGGTGTCTGTAGCTGTGGATGTGGTTGTAAGCATGGTCCATCTGTCATGTCATCCATTTCTCAGGCAGAAAAACAGCATAATCAGCAATCATAATAATAAGTGGTAGCATTGGACATATTGGCATTTGCATGTACGCTTAATCAGAATTTTTCATTAACCCTGCCTTTAAACGAATTCAACTTAGTTTTGTGAAGAAATTGATCGTTATTATACGAAACGGGTTTTATAGATATTCATTTAAGAAGGAGATTAAGAAATTAATTCCGATTTATACACA